CCTCCCGAACCACGTTTTCCCTCTGGTACCCGTGTGCTGCCTCTTCCTGTGCAGCCAGATATTCGCTTGTAATTTAATTTCTGTACGTACTACTGAAGAAGCTTAAGGAACAAACATGACTTTTCAATTTTATATTATTAACAAGAACACGAGTAAACTATATTAAATTCTCTGGATCTACATTGGAACAACGTTCTTCCAATAATTTACCTAATATACTTCCTTAAAAGATTTGATGAAATAAAATATAAATTTACACACTTTTTCATAGCGAGAAAATGTATTCTTCATTTTCCCCCTTTACTAATGCTGATTCATTGCCCTGATGTTTTCTCACCCCTGACCTCCAATATTCTGAGAAACATTAATCACAACTTTGCTCTACAAAACTCTACCTGCCTCGCCTGGAAGGAGGTCTAGACCAGCTCATGAGATCAGCTACTTTATAGAATGGACAGGCCTGTGAAGAAGGATGAGAGAGGCCCCGCCGCGGACAGCAGTGACCGCTCACGTCTCTCAGTAGTGACTTTCCTTTCTGGCTGCCCTAACTCGAGGTAAGCAGAACGAGTGTCCACGGTTGATCAACATCTAATCTCAGGTTTCCTCATTCTCCAAGTCCAACCGCCATGGAAGCGAGTCCGACCGCCATGGAAGTGAGTCCGACCGCCATGGAAGCGAGTCCGACCGCCATGGAAGCGAGTCCGACCGCCATGGAAGTGAGTCCGACCGCCATGGAAGCGAGTCCGACCGCCATGGAAGTGAGTCCGACCGCCATGGAAGCGCTACAAACGTTATTTTGGAAAGTCCAGGCAACTTCCCATGATGATGATAATGTTACTCCAGGGCTGGGGTGGGGGGGGGACGAATGGTTTCACTTACTCTTGCTCCATCGTTCCCAGCTGTGCCTTCAGCGCCTTTCTCTCCTAGGCCGCCCTGGGGAAACACAGAACAGCCTGCGTCCGTGTGGTTGTCTCCTTCCCACACTTGCATGGGGGGCTCACGAGTGAAGAGTCATGTCTTACGCTTGGAGCCGTATCTCCTGGAGCTCAGAACAATGCAGGCACTGCACATTCTCTCAATAGATAGACATTAAAACATGAACGAATGAGTGAACGGCTGTGACTCAGGACGGCTTGTGATTAAAAGTCTGCCCAGGACATGACTGTCGGCAGGAAATCGAACGGAATGAACTCAGAGAGAAGAAGGAGACTCACCCTGTCGCCCTTGGGGCCAGGCGTGCCGGCCGGCCCTCGCTCCCCGGGCATGCCTTGGAGGCCCGGCGGGCCCGTGTCCCCGGGGGCGCCAGCTGGTCCGGGGCTGCCCTGAAACCAACCAACAGGAAGGGGGGCACCTCAATATCCAAACTGAACCACACGGAATACCGTGTTGGTGGTCAAAACAGTAGATTCTCAGAGACTTCACAGGGTCTAACCCAGTGCTTACATGTTTCATTTGGAAAATGGCCTCTGAGTTCATTAAAAAACAACCATCAGACCTGCCATTTTCATAACCAGTTTATGTTTTCAACTTTTCTCTTTGGGGAAATTTAGTACTGATTCAAATAAAAATGATAGAGCTTCCTTTTTTTCTTATTTTGGTAACATCATGATGAGACTCTAATAAAGAAAGGAGATATTACATTTAGAGCGTATTTCATTCTCTCTAATAAACCCATGATATTAAGCTGGTTTTGAGGCTCATTCAGTGATTAAATTGAAGCAAATCTTATGCAATCACTTTGGATCGTAAAGATTTGCATAATCATGAAAAATTCGGATTAAGTTCAGATGTTTACGCTGAAACTGGTTCCATTGTCTGCTATCAATGTTAAAATGGCGCCTTCTGCCGTGTTTCACTTTAGAGGCAAAGACAACATCCTTCCATATATTTTGTCAGCAGAATCGTGGAACTCAGGACAAGGAAAGTGGAGCATAAACCCCATCACAACAGTGGACTCCTTTATAGCTGACACTTAGCGCCAAGCGCACGCCCGTAGCTGCCCATAAGCATTTGCTGAGGAAGAAAACTAGGTAACCAAATACCCTGGAGGACGCGAGGAGCACATGCTGGCTCGTACTCACCTTCGGGCCATCGGGGCCGTGCCCGCCGGCCATCCCCTTCTCGCCGGGCAGCCCGGTGATTCCCGGTTCTCCTCGCTCCCCCGGGTTTCCTCGCTCTCCCTAGCACAACAGCGGAATGTCAGCCTCAGGGCTTGGTCTAAAGGGGTAGGAACATTCCTGAAAACATGCAACAGGTCCTCCCGGGGAAAGGTTCAGAAATGAGCAACTACTGAGGCTCGGTTTCCCGATTTAGTGACAAGAAATAGGACGTGAAGGCAGGGTAGGGGTAGTTTCCCCAGCACAGAATATTTCCTTCACGGGGACTGATTTTTCAACAAGAAGAATTTAATACCACAGCAAAGCCCCATTGAAGACACTCAGAAAAGGTGCTTTTTAAAGGGAAGCCAATGGCAGCAGGCGGATGCAAAGGAGAGAATACTCACTCGAGGTCCCAGTGGGCCCACGGCCCCCGGATCGCCAGGAACTCCCTGTAAAATACAGTTTAAAAGGTGGGAAGGAAATCTTTGAGCTAAATTGCATTTATTTATTAGAAATCTTTCCAGATCATACACCTAATTTTTTTTTAACGCACTAAGCCCAAAGTATTGAAGAAAGAAAGATGTGTCCACTTTTATAAATAGAGTGGGCATCACATAAATTGGATGGAAATATTTTTCCAGAAAAAAATGATATTGTAACTGAATATTTGATTTTTGGCAGTGAGAACATACAAAATGTTATCTTCCAAAGTGCATTCATTTTTTTAGAGATGAAGTAATATATATACTAAAAGCCTTTTATTTCCTGATGCAATGTGAAAAAGTTTTAAGAGAGGGAAGTGAAATTAAAAGCAGTAGAGTACTGGTCTGTTGAATAAAACCAATTCCACTAACTCAGTAAATACTTCTTGAACATATAATGTGGGCAACACACTCTACTAGGAATTGTGGGTTCAGACTAGGGCAGTCATGACTCCATTAAAGTTTGTTTCTTTCTTTGATAAAGATAATCTCTGTATAAAGTAGGCCTCTGGTCTTATCCCTTGAAATTACTGTCTTCACTGAGGTGTGATCTTCCTAAAACTCAAACAGTAGTGCCCCTACTTAAAAACCCTTCATTGGCTGCCCATTATTCCAAGAGGAAGAACGAATAGGACTCAAAATAAGACCCTCCATAATCTGGCCCCAATTCACGCCTCCAGCCTCACTCCATCTGAGTTGCACTCTGCACTCCTGACCCACAGAACTGTGCTCACGGCCTTAACTTGACCTACAAAACGTTGTCCTTCCTGTTCCATGTCCTAGCGCACTTCCTCACCTTCCCTCCTCCGCTTACCACCCTTCATCCTTCAGATCTCATGGAAGTTATGACCTCGTCCAGGAAACTCTTCCTAAACCTCCAGCCTGAATCAATGGCATCTTCTGTGTTTCCAGAGACACAGTCCCTCCCCACCGATAGCAGTTAGAGTCACTGTCACTGTCTCCCTGTGCTCTGCCCCCCACTGTAATACAGGATACGGGCAAGGTCCATATCCACCTTGTTCAACTGGTTAAGGCCAAGCAAGGCTTAGCACAGCTGAGCACGGGCGCAGCACTCAGCAAATACTTGTTGGATGGTGGAATGAATGAATTCCTCAGAGAAAAATAAACGAAATAACCCATGTGCTCATAAAATGATAGAGATAAAGTAGTATCTGTTCATAACAGCTGGTAAAGCCTCCAGGAAAACTCCATCACATGACTCAGACTCACTCAGGGATTAAGAACACAGTCTGGGAAGCATGTGACCTGGGCTCAAAGCCCATCAGCTGTGCGACCCAACATCTGTGTGCCACCTTTCCTCTCCGTAACTAGGGGAGTAATAGTAGCGAGGGTGGTTTGAGGTTAAAAAAGAGAACATATGGCCCAGCCGGCGTGGCCCAGTGGGTGAGCGTCCACCTCTGAACCAGGAGGTTGGGGTTTGATTCCCCCTCAGGGCACAGGCCTGGGTTGCGGCTGGATCCTCAGTGCGGGCTGTGCAGGAGGCAGCTGATCCATGGTTCTCTCTCATCATTGATGTTTCTATCTCTCTCCCTCTCCCTTCCTCTCTGAAATCAATAAAAAGATATTATAAAAAGATAATATACGTAAATCACACCAGAATGGAGCCTCACACATGATAAGTGATATTAAGAAGCAGTGGTTTCTAGTATTGCTGTTCTTCGTATTCAAACACTTACCTGATCGCCTGGCTTTCCGCCTTCCCCAGGAGGCCCTGGGGGGCCTGGAAGCCCCTAAAACCAAAGCAACAATGAAAGTGTGACTGTGAAGCTGACCAGGCCACCAGTGCCAGCAGCTGACCTCCTACAGCTCAGAGAGCCTCCGGGACTCTATTTTTCAAGCAAAAGGTACTGTTCAACACAAGTTATGCAAACACAGACCGAGAGACCTCCATCTCATAACTAACCACAGAAGCTAGCTGATTGGTTAGGCCTTCATTTGCATATCACTTAGCAAACAAAAGAACAATGTAACAGGAGGCTCTTTAGATTTGTAGGTTTTTATAAAGGCTCTGAAAACAATATACTAGGTCAGTGGTCGGCAAACTGCGGCTCGGCAAACCGCAGCTCGCAAGCCACATGCGGCTCTTTGGCCCCTTGAGTGTGGCTCGTCCACAAAATACCGACTTCTGTGCATGGGCCATGAAGCTTCACTCGCACTGTACGTGCGCCCGCACGTGGTATTTGTCGCGATCTGCCGACCACAGTACTAGGTTACTAGAATACTACTGAAGGTTTCTTTTCCCCAAATTATTCTTATTCGTGCTGCTAAATAATCTACATACCAATATATTTAGATAAATTATGAAAATTTGTTCAACAAAATCTTTTAGATACTGTGCCAATAAAATCAGATAAGCCTTAAAACAGTTAAATAAATGTCACTGCGATATGAAGAATATTTTTTGGTTTTTCATTTGTTAATAGCTTTGGGTTTTAATCAGTTTTTCAGGGGAAGTCTATTCTTTCTCTTTAAAAAAATGTTTGATTTTATTCAAATGTCTATCCTATTTACTAAAAGAGGGATGACTTGGAAAACTGTAGAGCTACGCATCGTTTTCTCCTATCTCTTCACATTTTAAAAGAGCGTGTAGGCAGTGGAGAGGGACTCAACCACGGAACCCGCGCGTACCTGAAAGCCGGTGGGGCCAGGGGGTCCCTGCTCGCCTCTCTCCCCAGCGAGGCCCTAAGGCACAGGGGAAAGGAAATGGTGAAAATCCCGAGCCAGCCCTCACCCCGCTTCCTGCCCGTGAGAACCACTAGAAGTATTTCCATTTATTGTATTTCTTCCAATCACATGTTCTGCACTTTGGCCGGATACTGAACTAGTATTAAAAGTCATCTATTGGTTTGAAGTCCCTGCTAGTGAGAAAATATCTTTCAAAGCCAGCAAAGAGACTGATGACATGTGTTTATTTTTTGATCCAAACAAAATGTCTGGAGCTAACCATAAAATTATGGGGAAATTGGATGAATTGGAGATGGAAAAATTCATTACTTTCATATATCTAATCTAAAATGGTAATATTTTCATTGCAGTTTATTTCTAAGTGTCATAAAAACCATTAATCAAACCTTCAAAACTAGTCAACAAAGCTAGCATTTTAATTAATTTGGTATTTTAAGCAAATAAAATGCCAAAATATTTCTGATAAACACTTCATGTTACAATGCTAGGATGAAAATATACCTCAAAGAGTATTATTCCTTTTTAGCCCCTCAAAAGAAAAACCAGCTTAAATAAATATCTATAAGACACATTATTAGAATAAGATAGATAATATTCAGTATTTTAATATTTTAAATAAAATACAGTATTAAATGTTAATCAAGCTCTATTTTCCTTAGTTGACATATTTTCCAACAGTGATACATAAAGATGAAGAGGTAGCCTTTTGCCATCAGCATTTTATAGAGATTTAAAATGAAGAAGCCAATCACGCCATTTTAAAAGGCAGAAGATTCCAGCACAGGAATCAAAAGGAAAGGTATAACTGCAATTCTTCAATCTGCACTTCTTCTTTATTTCCCCCCAAAGTTATCATAAGTAAAGCCTTGGACAAACACAATGGAAAATGGAGTATGAACACATTTTTGCCAAAAGACCACATACCGGGGGGCCCACGGGCCCGGAAGGGCCGACTTCGCCGTCTTTCCCAGGAGCTCCCTAGCGTCACACAGAGAGAAGTTGTGAGATGAGGGCCATGAGAATTCGCGTAATTTTATTTTTTTTCTTTAGCAGAAAATGTATATAGCTACCCTCTGTCCAGGGACACCAGCATTTCCTGCTTCCCCCGGTTTGCCAGGATCACCCTAAAGAACAAACTTACATGTCAATCAATTTGTCCGAAGCATGCCTGTGCCAGGTGAGAACTACAGGGGATGACAGGCACGTTACACATGTACTCACACTGCTGCCCTTGGGGCCGGGGAGCCCCATGGTCCCAGGCTGCCCCCTGATTCCTATGGAGCCGGGGGGCCCGGGGCGGCCATCCTCCCCCGGAGCGCCCTGCAAAAGCCACAGGAGCCACGTAAGTTCTGTGTAGGTTCTTCCTAAACATCACATCACCCCAGTAGTCACTTGCCTTTGCTCACTATAAAACTTAATATGTTTTAAGTTATCCGACATTGTTATCTGAGTGAATTAGAACAGGCGAGCGTCTACGAAAACAAGCGAAAGCTGTTGAAGGATCTTTGACTCTATTCTCATTCTATACACGAGCCTCATCTCCACGTCTCCTCCCATTCTCAGCTGAAAAGAGGAATCTGTCCCTTCTCCTTTCACTTTGTGGCAATGAAACCTCAGACTTCTACTTCACATTTGCATATAAGAGAAGGGCCCAGAGTATACGTCAAAATTCATACCTACTTATCTCTTAAATGTATCAAATTGGAAGGAACATAGAGAAATAAGAATGCTGCTAACAGACAAAGCTCATCAATATGAAGAATACATCATTCTGACTTTTTCACTGATGTCCAGGAAGCAATTTTAATCTCAAACATTTACTTCAATAAAATGTGACAATTTTGGTGAATTTGAAAATATGCAGATCCTAACTATTTGCTTCCAAGGGGCAGGGCCCCTTAAACAGATAAATGTGGTCAGCAGCCATGTGATCCGAAACATCAGCCCCCCTAAGCTGCCTGCCTGGAGGAGCACCCATGGCTGTGGGCGTCGGCTTAAAACACTTACCAAAGGCCCGAGTTTCCCTTCAGGACCTTGAACCCCAGGATTGCCTGTCAGACCCTGAAAATTAAAGTAACCGTCAGTGTGACCTGCAGCTGAAGATTCTGGAGTAAAAACAGCATCGCATTCATAGGACCAGGTTCCACCTGGCAATGGCCACCCTCGGGCGCCTCAGGGTCCCCTAGACAAGCTCCTGGACCCTCCTGGCCTCAGCAGGATGCAGGGCGACCAGCACAGAGGCCAGCGGGGTGGCATCAGGGGGGCTCTGCCTCCAGGGCACCCCCCAAGCCCCCTGCAGTGCCCAGGCTGGATGCCAGGGCATCAGTCTACATCGCGGTCCAGGAGCCACCCAGGCGTGGAAATCTCACGTAACCGCTCTCTGTAATGCACCTCCAACACAGTCTCCTGGTCCCAGCAAGGGGGGTGCCCCGGTACAGGTCACCCCAAAATCAGGAAAGCCAACACTATGCTCCCACCAGGCGTGTATAGTCCATTCCTAGCCCCCCAGTCCAGAGGCGGTCTAAACCCAGGGGTCATTTTCCCATCAGCACTGTCGGCGGCACTCGGCGGCACGCCCCCTGGATCAGACGTGAGGGAAGAATGTCTGAGCCAAGATGCACCCACGCCAGTGTTCCCTTAGGAGGAGGAAGGCCAGCGTGGGCTTCACTCGCGGACTCAATGCTGGGCTCAGGAGAAAGAGCTCCTGTTGGGCCAAAGGTATCTTTTCATCCAACTTTCTGTGTAACTCCTTTCTCCTGAAGGGACTGCTGACCATTGAATATGAGGGCAATTCCAAAGTTGAAATAAATGTCAAGTGATAGAAAACATATCTTACATGACATTTATCATCAATTCTCTCCGTCAAGTCAAATAAGTTATTATCAAGCAAAATATATATAAAATTGACAAACAGGAATTTTTTTCATGAAAAGAGGTAAAATTGTTCATACAAACCCTTTGAAAAAGGAAGACTAGAATTCAGTGTGTTTTCTACACATGACAAAAATAACAAGCCAGTATTTACAAAATAATGAATCGGGTCAAAACCAAAAAACAAAGAAATGTTCCAAGTTGTGAAAGTGAGCTAGAGAGAGAGAGAGAGAGAGAGAGAGAGAATGAGGGAGGGAAGAAGGGGGGAGGGAGGGAAGGAGGGAAGGAGGGAGGGAAGGAGGGAAGGAGGGAGGGAGGGAAGGAGGGAGGGAAGGAGGGAAGGAGGGAGGGAAGGAGGGAAGGAAGGAAGGAAGGAAGGAAGGAAGGAAGGAAGGAAGGAAGGAAAGAAGGAAGGAAGGAAGGAAAGGGAGGGAAGGGAGGGAGGAAACACCCTTCATGACTTCCCAGGAGCACGTCTCTCGGCTGATGGACCACAAGAGGCCGTGTTCTTACCCGAGCGCCCGGCAGCCCTGGTTCCCCGGGGCGTCCTGGGTCCCCCTGCCCTCCTTTAGGTCCTGACGAGCCAACAGGCCCCCTCTCTCCTTGCGCCCCCTGTTCCAAAGCAAAGCAGACATGTCAGGAAAGAGCACGGAGACACACGTGAGCATTAGTGTCACAAACAACAGCTGGTCAGTCACTGCAGGGACCTCCCGGCAAACAGTGCCCCTCGCCTTCTGCTCTAACTTGCATTCCTGCTCGAACAGCGCGGTTTCTTCGTTACCCAGTGAAAGTGGTGATCAGAACCTCGCTCCAATCATTTAGATATTGGAAAAAACATAGAATTTTGAAAGAATCTAAATTTCTAGATAAAGGAAAAAATATGTCAGCTCCAGGGAACGGCCATGACCTCTTCTTCTCGGCATTTCCCTGACGAGCCCGGAAACAAGCTCCCACCCCCCTCCATCGGCAGCCTCCCCCTCCCTCTATAACGCAGACATCGCACACGGCATCGGTGTCCAAAGCTGTTCTGGATCTGGGCCCCACGGCCAAGGCTAAGTCATGACGCTGGGCCCCGGCACCTCCCGCAGCGCCATGGCCCACACTGGCGAAATGGCCTCACCTTGGGTCCAGGTAAGCCGTCAGAGCCCGGGAAACCGCGGTTGCCAGGAGCACCCTACGAAGGAGCAAGATTCGATCTTAATAGCTGTCGATGGTTTCGTAATACATACCGAAGGGATAATGTTTATCTTTATCACTAACGGCTTTAGAGTCTGTGATCAAGCCCACATGGCGGTAAATACGCATAAGAAAAAACCTGACTACACAGAGGAGACCTTAAATTTTAAAGAATAGCCCTAACTGGTTTGGCTCAGTGGATAGAGCGTCGGCCTGCGGACCGAAGGGTCCCAGGTTCGATTCCGGTCAAGGGCATGTACCTTGGTTGCGGGCACATCCCCAGTAGGGGGTGTGCAGGAGGCAGCTGGTCGATGTTTCTCTCTCATTGATGTTTCTAACTCTCTATCCCTCTCCCTTCCTCTCTGTAAAAAATCAATAAAATATATTTAAAAAAAAAAGAATATGTAAGTACCGAGCCAGAGTTATCCAGAGCAAGAAATATTCTAACAACTCACGGTAAAATCAAACCTAAACTGACACACAGGCAGGCGAGGCAAAGGAAGGCGCATCTGCACACGCAGAACTGCCCGGACCACGCCTGGCCTGTGGCAGCCCCTGCGTCCCGAGGCTCACCCGGTGCGAGTGCGGCCTTGGCCCCCTCAGGCCCGGCTCACCGTCCTCCGGGACTTCGCAGTCAGCCTCCGGCTGGGCTTTGCTGTTTCCTCTGCCGAACAGTGTTCTTCCTCCCACGTCCTCACCCAGCACGTCCTCACCCTCGGGTCCCTGCTCAAACGCCATCTTCCCACAGAACCCTGTTTCCTTGCCTCCTCATCTAACGCCGCCCCCAGCCCCACACTCGGAGTTATTCCTGCCGCATCGCCCTGTTACTTCCCAAGTGTGCGTGGCATTTGTTAAAACGTGTCATTATGTCTTTATTTAATGCTGACTTGTTTTTTGCTAACGTCCCCGTCAGAGTGAACTATAGTTTACCAGCCCCACGTGAGGGCTGGGACTGTAGCCTTCTGCCCACTGGCGTATCCCAAGCAACACAACACACTGGCGTCGCACAGCCACCGGCAGGACTAGTTCAGTCCCTAGCTGCGTGAATACACAGTGGTTGGCGGTGCCTTTCACTCACAGGTTACTCACTGAACCAGCACCTGCAAGCGTGTCTCCCAGCTGCTCTGCTTTCCTTACCATCCCCAGACGTATCCCCCGGAACCGTGAGAACTTGCTTTATGACTCAGTTTACCCTTTCTCCCACCGGCCCTTGAGGACCGACTGCGCCGGGGTCGCCGCGGGGACCTCTTTTGCCTTCTTCACCAGGGGGGCCGATGGGGCCCTGAATGCCATGGGGCCCCTGTTGAAAACAGAAGAGCAGTTACCAGGAAAGGCCATGCAACGAGTAGAGTGGAAAGATCCATCTAATGAAGTCAGTCATACATTCTAAATTACATGAAATGGGCTATCTCCATCCAGAGGGATTACATTCTCATAGTTATTATTTCACACACTTCAGCGTTTTGAGCTGCCCACTGCTCGGCAATGCGTATGTTCTTCTTCTCATTTAAAAAGAAAAAAAATGAGCCCTTACCGGTTCCCCTTTGGGGCCAGCTTCTCCTTTGAAGCCTGGGACTCCTGGGTCGCCCTGAAATGAAAGCATCCTCAGTGGGGAGCACCCTCCCTCCCTCCCTGCCCCCCCCCCGCCCCCGCCCCGTGAGCTGAGTTGGGACTGAGCACTGTCCCTTCTGAAAACCTGACACCATGTGTGTGAATTTTCATAAAACGCAGCAGAATTTGGTAGCAGTTTGTTTGCTTCACACTGTCCTCAAGAGGCTTGTTTTTCAATACTGATTCTTATTTTGCATGCTAGAATAATTACAATTATTTAGCTATTATTCCAATTTGATCATTAAAATGAGAACCAAACAATCACCACTTCTGCAGAAAACCTACTTAGGGTCTATTTTAGGAAATAGATTCGTTCACCCAGAATGGAAATAATTTTATATTTATGTCCAATCTATTGAGAGTTTGACAACTTCTCATAGGGCATTTCATCTCTATGGGGCTTTAGGGTTTTTCTTTGTTCAGGGTTTTATGTATGTGTGTCTTCAAATACCAATTACAGTTTAGGTTTAGGAACCAGATTGCTAAATTGAGAACATGATCAAATGAAATGTGAAGCATCAGCAACCCTCATGTTTTAATAAATCTGTCACCAGCAAAAAGAATTGATCAGCAAAAACCAAATGACTTGGAGCAGAATCTAGAATATTTGTTTTAAGTAGCACTAGAAAAAAGGTTGGCTTCATGTATATATCAAGCTAAAACATATGTAAGCACAAGTTTTCAATCTGTTTAGTTCTTATGGGTGCATCATAATATTTTTCCTAGAAAATAATTTTTAGAAAATATGAAAACTCATTAAATATAATGATATGTTGAAATCTTTCTTCAAGCACCATATGATTTCACTCACATGTGGAACCTAATGAACAAAATAAACTAACAAACAAAATAGAAACAGACTTATAGACACAGAGAACAGACTGACAGCTGTCAGAGGGCCCGGGAGTCAGGGGGCTGGTGAGAAAGGTGAAGGGGTTAAGTAAAAAAAATAAATAAATAAGAAAACACCTCCTGGTCACAGGCAGCAGTGTGGTGACTACCAGAGGGAAGGGAGGAGGGGGAGGGTAGAAGAGGGTGAAGCGGGGGTAAATGCAGATGGAAGGAGACTTGACTTGGGGTGGTGAACTCACGATACAATACACAGATAATGTATAGGGTTTCCCCCCAAAATGTATACACATATTTTGAATAATTATAAAGGCAATATTTATTAAAATATATTTCATTTTCAAAATTGAGCTATCAGCTGTTAAAGTGCATACATTTTGGGGGGGACACTCTGTATTATAGAATTGTATACCTGAAACCTATATAATTGCATTGACAATTGTCACCCCAATAAATTCAATAAAAAAATAAAAATTAAGCCCTGGCGGGTAGCTCGGTTGGAGCATCGTCCCGATATGCCAAGGTTGTAGATTCAATCCCCAGTCAGGGGTCAGGGCACATACAAGAAGCAACCAATAAATGCATAAATAAGTGGAACCACAAATTGATATTATGCTCTCTCTCTCTCTCTCTCTCTCTCTCCAAATTAAAAATTAAAAGAAGAATAACTGTCAAGAAATAGTTGTTGAATCCATTTTTAGTCAAATCATTAGAAGTCCCCATTAAACCGCCACATCGCCCCCCACTGGCTTGCTAATGTTTCTATGATGTTTATTATGCAGCTGCTCGTAAAATTCTGAGTTAGAACATGAAGTTCTGGCCTTACTATTTTACATAAAAACCACTAACATGATGTTCCACTTTGAATTTAAACCTCAACACTCATGTTAGCGTTTGCTCCCACTTTGTAAGACCCCTGTCTTCATTCGCCTCGTTCAGTTACGCCCGGTTTTCACTGCATCTCGTCAGATGCTGTCCCTCTTGGCGGGCTCAGTCCCATTACACCAGCGGCAGCAGCGGTTCTAAAGGACGTTACCGGTTGGCCTCGAATTCCTGGAAGCCCAGTGCTGCCCTGAGGTCCTTGGGATCCGGGGGGCCCTGCCAGGCCAGGGGGCCCAGAGGGGCCTGCAGAACCCTGTCAGAGCGAGAGAGACACCGTGAGCAGAGACCGGAGGAGCCTCCGCCAACGGCCACAGCCCCGTGTCCACTTGACCTTCACGCAACAGAAACGCAGGTGCTCACCGTCGGGCCTTTGGCGCCAGGAGTACCGTCCGTCCCCACTGCGCCCTGAAAGGTACAGGAAAAGTCTATCACACGAGCAGCCATGTCTAGGGGGTCCTCTCAGACGTCTACCATCTCCCAAAGGGGAGACCATAAGTTACCACCCCAAACTCAACGACCATCACAGCATAAAAGTAACTTTGATGACGTTTTCCATCACATAGATGCAGCTGGCGTCACCAGGGAACTTGATCTTCTCCTGAGCTGCAAGCACGCGGTCGGCAGCCAAGCGGGACATGTGAGGGGCTGCCCTTGTGCCCTAGCTGCACACGCCCGGCCTCCGGGCCACCTCGCGGGGCTGGCACTTACCGGGAGGCCCTGCGAGCCCACGGGCCCCGGCGGCCCCGTCTCGCCTCGCTGCCCCTGCGGTCCTTCAGGGCCTCGGGCCCCGGTGGGACCTGCTTCTCCCTAAAGGGGAGCAAAGAGAAACGTCCATTTTAGGAGAATGTCAGCACGGGACGATTCCAAGTAGATTGCGTCCTTGAGTTTCACATTTTACGCCCAGATCTAAGGGGGCTGAGAGCACAGCTCCCTGCAGGGCTGGGCCTGACCTGGGCGTGGCTGCCTGCCCCCCCCCCCCCCCACTTGGGGCAGATGTGGCCGCTAAGGGCAGCCTGGGAGCCGCCTATTCCAACCTAAGGGTGCGGCCCCGAGAGGACACCAATGCAGGGCATGCAGTTAAGTTTTCACTCAGATAAACAGCAACTAATTTTAGTATAAGTTTGTCCCATGAAATATTCGGGACATATTTGTACTAACATTTATACTTCGTTGAACTGAAATTCAAACCTAACTAGGTTTCTGTACTTTACCCGCCATGTTCTGTACCGAGGTATCCCTAATCCTGGCATTCCAGAACTAAAACCCGAAGCTTTAGGGAGCTCATGAGAACCAAGAAACCACATCACTCCCTGCTCAATCCCTGTGGCCCTTCACTGAGATGCAAAGAACTGAGGTGGAGTGTGTTCTTCAGCCGAGACCAGGGCCATGGGAGGCCCTCAGAGGCACAGAGGGTCCTGACCAGGCACAGAAACCCGGGTCTCACGGGGATGCTGGTGAGACAGGGGGCAGTTTTGCTGGGTGTCGGGCTTCACCAGGCAGCTCTCAGGAGCCACGGGCAGCGCTGGCAGCACCCTGTGAGCTGGGTGACCTGTGGCTGCCCCTCTGTGGAGCCCAGTCCTGGGCGCCCTGAGATTCTTCCCTTAACCCTCCAGCTGGGCTCCTGTGAGGGCGGGGGTCTCACGGGAAGGGCAGGGGACTGAGGGCAGGATTAGGACTTCAGGGAGCAGAACAGATATGGGGAACAGAAGGTCCCACCTGCCTGCGCTCAGAGCGAGCTGTCAGTGAAGAAGGGACGGAGAAAAAGGCCAGGGCAGCTCTGGAGAGCAGCTGACCCTGACCCCGACACCGGGGCAGAGGTTACAGGTGGCAGGAGAGGCTTGAACAACTAGACTGGATGCCGCTCACGCTTCAGGGAGTGTCTGACGGGTCAGTGTGGACTGAGTGTGTGTTCGTTTTTGAAGCTCATGTCCAATTCGAGTAGAACGACTAACAAGAAGCAGAGACGAACCGAAGAACGAACATGCCTAAGCCACGGACACAGACAGGCGTGTGGTGAAGGCCTGGGGCGGGCAGGTGTGAGTGGAGGTCAGTGAGAACGAAGGGGACATGTGTAACACGTTCCACAATAAAGACAGTTCCCGAAAAGAAGCAGGGACCTCCCTGAGGGCCTGACCTAAGCGTGTGCACAGATTGTCCCACCTGCTCGCCAACAGCTTCCAGGAGGAGCCAGACGTGAGCAAACGCCCCTCCGAGAGGGAGACAGCGCTGCCAAGGGTGCGAGGGACACAGACGCACTGCGGAGCATGTGGAGGGGGTGATACAGATGTGCTCACGGACTCAGCTAATACAGGGTCACACGCTCCTGCGCACCCTTGAGTTTACTACCCAGAGTGTTGGGGGACACAAACTGTGATCCTCTACAGAGGTAAGTGGCCCCAGCAGAATGCTTCAATCCGTTCCCACAGGGAGTGCCAAACAGCCTCTCAGTCCATCCCTTTAGTGGTCAGGAGGGAGAGGCAGGAGGCGGGGAGGTGAGGGGGGGGGTGGGAGCCCGCATCCTGTGAGAGAACAGCCTGGATGGCCTGACTCACTGCAGACTCTATTGTTTAGAACATTCTGCTGCTTGTTGCCGCCAGGCCCCGTAGCCAAGAGCAGAGCTCCAACTCAGACTCAACTGTTGCCCTTGTAGCTGCCACAGGGTCTGCATCAGGGTCTGAGGCAGCAGGTTCTCTGACACTTGTGTGACTATAAGTTACTCTCTTTGGATTACACATTATTTAGTAATCTCATTTTTACATTTTCTTTATGTTTTCCCTACCGTATGGACACAGAGAATACTCTCCAGTGGTTCTCAACCTTCCTAATGCCGCGACCCTTTAATACAGTTCCTCATGTTGTGGTGACCCCCAACCATAAAATTATTTTCGTTGCTACTTCATAACTGTAATTTTGCTACTGTTATGAATCGTCATGTAAATATCTGATATGCAGGATGGATTTTCATTGTTCTCGACCCACAGGTCGAGAACCGCTGCGTCTAGACTCTTTCCTTAGTTGAGAGCAACCTCCTTGCTCTTCGGTAAATGAAATGACATTCGTCACTTTGGGATTCATGTAATTAAGAGCTAAATATATTAACGCTTTACCTTCATCCCAGGATTTCCTGGAAAACCAGAAGAGCCAGGTATCCCGAGAGGACCCTGTTAACAGAAACCAGAAAAGTGACCGGACATGTATCTTAATCAACATCTAAATAAGTCATCATTTAGTCTTCCACAAAATTCTGTACTTTGACACATAATATAAGAATAATCCACTTAATACTTTGAAATCACAAAAATAATAGTGTATTTTAATATAAGTACCTGCCAACATTGACATGAAATAGTGTCAAATCCTATTATGTCTAATACTCATGTCCACGGGTGTTAAACATAATAGGATCTCCTAGTCGCAGCATAGCAGATCGAGTCAGTAACAACCACAAATTGTTGAAAACAGTTGCTTAAGAAATGTATTTTTGCCCAGATGGTGTGGCCCAGTGGTTGAGCATCAACCTATGAACCAGGTGGTCATGGTTAGATTCCTGGTCAGGGCACATGCCCAGGTTGTGGACTGGATTCCCAGTCGGGGCGGCGGGGGCGGGGGGCGGGCGGCGGTTGCAGGAGGCAGCCAATCAATGATTCTTTCTCATGATTGATGTTTCTCTCTCTCCCTTCTCCCTTCCTCTGAAATAATAATAATAATAATATAAAAAAGAAATGTGTGTTAACCAATTAATAAAGATACTTTTTCGAAAGTTATGTTTTGTACCAAAATCTAGGACTGTCTTTATGAAATGATGCTTAAGAATCCTCTGGATTCTCTAGAGCAGTGGTTATCAACCTTCCTAATGCCGCGACCCTTTAATACAGTTCCTCATGTGGTGGTGACCCCCAACCATAAAATTATTTTCGTTGCTACTTCATAACTATAATTTTGCTACTGTTATGAATCGTAATGTAAATATCTAATATGCAGGATGTATTTTCATTGTTACACATTGAACATAATTAAAGCATAGTGATTCATCACAAAAACAATATGTAATTATATATGTGTTTTCCGATGGTATTAGGCAACCCCTGTGAAAGGGTCGTTTGACCCCCAAAGGGGTCGCGACCCACAGGTTGAGAACCGCTGCTCTAGAGTGAGTATTTTCAGGCTAATAAGAAGCGGATATCTGTCACTACCCCACACCTGGGAAGGGTGCATAGAGTTTAAACCAATGACTTAAAGGCTGGATTGAAAGCATCTAGCACAGGAGGAATTCCATTCTAGGCTATCTTGGTTCTTCTTTTAAGAACCATTAGCTTTTAATCCCACCACTTTTGTGTTTTAAAAAACCCTTTTTAACTATAGTTACTTTGTTGCCTTTTTATGAGTAACAAGGAAGAAAAGACCCCAAAGGCAAATAATTTCAAATCTGATTTGCCCTCCGAGCATCTCCTGAGCTCGCCATGGTCTCCATCCGCCCAGCGATGGGCCATGCCGTGTTCTTGCTCATTTACATATCCCTGTGCCAAGACTTAGCTTGGGAGTCGTTCCTCTTTAAGTTCCTGGGCATCTTTCTCCAGCTTCAGGTGTATTTTCTCCTCAGCGTCCCCAAACCTCAAGTCATAGTCTATGTGACAGCAGTTAGCAATGGCCGTAGCTACTATATTAACGTCTCTCTCCCTTGGCAGACAAGTCCGCGTTCAAGGACAAGTACTGTGTGTTTACCATCTTTTATTCCAGGTGACTGGGCGCAGTAGGCGCTCTGTAACGTTAGCGAGTGTGAAAGTAGAAAAATGCAGAGTGAATATGAAAATAATAAAACTCACCATCGGCCCGGGTTTTCCTGGCATACCATGTGCACCTCGTTGTCCCTAATCAGGAGAAAAAGAGACGGGATTCACTCTATTTGCTCATGACTCATTTGCTTTATAAAAATTTCCATGTTACAAATTAAAGAATAAATATTAACTAACAACAAACTTAACTGAGTTAATAGAAATAAAAACACACATTTACACAACACTGGTAAAGTAGAAATAAACCCATCTATCCGTACAGCAATGAGAAAGAGAAGATTGAAAGGAATGAAACTGATGAAAATCATTCTTTTTACTTGAATGTGTCACCATCTCTCAAATTAGATCAAAGTCAGTGGAATTTTGAACATCTCTTTACAGGCATATTAATGCAGAGGAGGAATGCACTACTTGTAAAAATAAAAATAAAATAAAATGAATGGCACGCACACACCAGGAGATTAAGTAGCAGTGAACACTGTGGGTGGCCCCAGGTCCCTCTCTGCTGCTGGAAGCGGTGAGCTGAGGGCTCACAGTGGTCCCCCGGGCTGCCCTCAGCGAGGAGAGCTTAGCTCTCCCAGGGCTGTGCCCCTCCCGTGCCCAGCACCGGGTACAGAGCGACCCACCTAAGGGTGAGGAGCCCTCCCCACTGCACAGCTCCCATGACCGAGGACTCTCGGAGCCAGGTTCCGGCAGTTGTAACACCAGTTACTTTCTCCCTCTGACAAACCTGGTTCTTTTACTCCTTCTCCACAATGTAGCATCTGAAAGCCGCCCCAGGATTTCCTGCACACAGTCTGCTATGATGCTAGTTTCTGGGAAACCAGACCTAAGACTTCCATAGCACTGGAGCCGGAAGGAGCCTAAGGTAGACTCTCAGATGGGATTTGGGACTCCTCACTGACCACGTGGCGGTAGAGAGAGCGTAGAGCGTGGGCCGCCCGCACGCTGTGGTGATGCAGTAGGATCCTCTCCAGGCATGCACTGCGTGGGCCGCCCGGGCATGGAAATGGGCTGTGGGTGCAGCAGCTCAGGCATGTGACAAGTTTTAGGGGGAAGAGCGATTACAAGTTGATGGCACTGCATGGGTCTTACTGAGTGAATCCAGCAAGTGAAAGGCTGATGGCGATTAATCAATATGAGGCTCTTTGGCAGCATTTAAAAATACTGCCATCTTCTACAGCCAGGGTGGGGGAGCTGAAGCTCAAACCCATGACGTAATGATAGAGGTTTGAAAGCTCTTGAGGGGTTTAATTCTAAACATGTTTCGGCTCCTAGGCCATGATCGGAGGCCTGGACTGGAAGGCATGGGCCTTGGCGTGGGCATGGGAACATCTGAAGAACTTTGCAGTCTCGGCACCTGGCAGCCCATGGGCCTGCAGACTGGCCCGTCCCTGCTTCTAACCGCGCGTGCTTCCTCCTTGCTCACAGGAGCCTCTGCTCTCCCCGACAGCACATGCCGCCGCCGCCACCACCACCTGCCTCACCCTCCGGCCGTCAGACCTATAACCAGCACAAAGTCACAAGCGAGGGGCTTGAGGGGAGACTACACACCAACAGGAGCCACCGGTTCCCTGCATCATGCAGAAGCGGGTCCAAAGGCACAGCCGAGAGGGACACCATGCAAAGCCTGGGAACGTGAACGGTGGGGAGGGAGCACTCCTCCCAGGACCCACATTCACACCTGGTGAGGCCCTGGGAGATGGTGCTCACAGGGGAGGCGATTTTCAGAGAACAGCGAGGCCCCCACGGAGCCGGAAATGCCACCGCTGCCGTGGCAGACGGCAGAGGACGCACAGAGAGCGGACACTAGATGGGACGTCCCGAGGGCGACACTGACTGTTTCCACATCTCCAGGGGGCCCTCTGCTTCCCGAGGGGCCAGGAATGGCCGGGGGGGGTCTCACTCCCCACACCAGGGCTCCGGCACCTTTGAGAAGCTAAAGGGTGGTTGTCCTCTGGGGTAACAGGAGGGGGTGCTGAGGGCCCTAACACTGATGGGGACCAAGTCAGCATAATGGAGGCCGGGTGGCAGTCCCTCACTGTCAGAAGCCAAGTGGGGGCGGTGCAATGAACTGCAAGTCTGCAATGTTAGCAAGTGCAGCCGGGCCCTCCGCGAGCTGTAGAGGGCGTCAGGGGGATAGGCCCCCACCGAGGCCTGAGGTACAGGGACACACAGCAAGGGCATTTCCCAGGCTGTACCTTTAAAACAGACCAGGAGACTCGTATCAACGAAAGGGTGCATTCACTGCACTGACAGACTGTGATGAACATAACATAAGGATGCTTGAAAGGATGCTTAGTGTATAATAAGCGCTTGATAATGTCACCTGTTAGTATAATGTTATTACTGTTCCAAAGCGTATGCTTTTCCATGGGTTATAGCCCATGCTGTTGTATGTTTTCACTGTTTTCTTAACTTCTGTGTTAAAATAAATTGGCAGCAAATGTATTGTAAGATGTGAACATTCAGAGAAGCTAGGTGAAGGCTACATGGGAACTCTACCCTATCTTTGCAACTTCCCTGTAAACCTAAATTTATTCCAAAAGAAAAAGGAAAACATTTAAAAGTAGGCAACCAGCATTGCTATTCTCATTTTAAATGCATATTCAGTAAAGCATCACAGAGTGGGGCACACATACTTACCGGAGCACCCTGCGGCCCAAGCCTGCCTCTCTCTCCCGGCATTCCCCTGGGACCCTGTAGATAAGAGAGAAAACATCCCTTGAAGCATCGAATGTAAACTCTAGGACAACTTGATTACCCTCCTCAAAACAACTGAGACTCCATATACTTGGCTACCAAGCAACAGTATTTCTTGGGGTTTGAAAAACTCTACCTGTGGAGATATATAATCTACCACCTCTTACCTAAATAGACTTCACTTAATCTAGTTCTAATGGGCTGCATCTCAAATCTGATTTGATCACTGAGTACAGAAAAAAATAATACTGAGGGCGCTCACAGTGAAGGAAAATACTGAAATGCGGGAAGACTCTCCTACTTGAAGGATGCGATTGTCAGAGTGTGCTTGCCTATCAGATGATAAGCAAGTGACTTCACTAGCAAACGTTATCATGTCTTTCCGTTTGTTTCATTCAAACATTCTCTTACTAAAATCTAAAAAGCAAGTAAATAACAAAGAATTAAACGAATACTCACCATAGGACCCATGGCACCCATTGGGCCAGTAGGACCGGCTTCACCCTACAGCAGAAATGACATCACATGACAATATGAGGAACCTCCATCGACAGTCACATCATTTTGCTCCACATGCGTATCATTCCAAACACGTATTTTCAAAATGGGCGTTTGAAGGGCATTCGAAGGACCTCAAAAGTCTATTGAATTACGTTTTCTCAAAATGCAATAAAAATTCCATTCCTACAGAAATAAGTCTAAAGTAAAATTGGGGATTTAAACAAGATGGATGGGACCATCATCCACAGTCACATTAATCAGCATCAGAACTACCTGTGTCTAGTAATACTTTAGGCGATGTAACACTTCACAAAGTAGACACTGACGGTAGCATTTCTTTAATTTCTGGAATAGGAAGCTTAGAAATAACAAATTTGAAGCCAAAGGTCTTTGCACATGTGACTCTCAGGGGACTTCCCCCTGGAGAGTCCTCTGCAGTCCTGCTGCTCTCCCTCCCTCTGGAAGCACAAGTAAACGTGGGGAAGAACAAGGGCCCGAAGGCCCAGAATTAAAGGCCGCTAAGTGGCGGGGATAACGGACCACCTGAGCCTCTGTGAGCTCAGAGAAGAAGAGCGAGTGTGTTAGAAGGTGGATGATGGTGCCACATGTCATAGGGACACAGTCTCCTTCCTACACCGGGAGGGACCCAGAGCCACAGGGGCTGTGCTTGGTGGCAAAGCCAGGGCTCAGCATGTGTCCCGGTAAATCTACCGCCAGTCGTCTGTGAAAAGGTACGTTTATCTACGTAACTGCTCACTGCCTATACTCCTCTTCCCTCCAGAATGACTTAGGGGTTCTGGGAGGCGTTTGGCACTTGACACACAACCAAAATGCTATCGTGAGGTTACACTGAGGCATCAGACAATCACCTTGGAACCGGTTGCTCCAACTTCACCTTTAGGGCCTTCAAGACCTTTATGTCCCTAAAAAGAAAAATACAAATTTGTATTTTACTGTGTTTTTTTCTTTTCAGATGCATAAAAGCAGCAAACATAAGCTTACAGAAAGTGCCTGATGAAAATGGATCTCAAATTTAAAGTTGTTACTCAAAATGTTTCCAAATTCTCAACATTTTTTAAAAGAATATTAGTTTCCCCTTTAAAATAATGTTTTCAACAAGCAATGTTCTAACCTTTCAAATTTTTTTACTTCATAGAAATTTAATCTATAGCTATAGATAAAGAACTTACAAGAAAATAGTTATAGAGTTTAAATAGTTATCAAATATGGGTTATATCCAGGGATAATATTCAAATTATCTAATAACTAGTGATTAGCAAGTATTCTAATCAGAAATTCAACCACTCAAAACAGAGGCCTGTCAGTGTATACTGAGTAAATACCAGCCAAGCTTTCAGATAGATAGATAGATAGATAGATAGATAGATAGATAGATAGATAGATAGATAGATGATAGATAAATTTCTATACAAGATGGGGCAAAAGTAGGTTTAAGTTATCTGTATGGAAACGAATACAATAATTGATAAATAAGAATGCAGGAAGTAACTGTGTTTCACGTCCTCAGGCTGTAAGCCTCCTTTTGCCCCACCTGTATATGTACATGGTATAACGGCTGCGCGTTATCTGGAGTTATAAAGAGAGGAGCAACCTACAGCCTCCACGTCTGGGCTGACGGCCCTAGATTAGCGCCCTGGTTCGGGTCTGCACTTATTCCTCTACAGAGCAGTTGCCTATTTTCCTAACCAAAGCCCTTCTGAGCCTGAAGCTGAAAGCCATAGAGGCTCCCATTCATCACCGTCTTCTCTTGCAGCACAGTGTTCAGTGCGAGGTAAGACTCACAGTGTGTCTACAGGCTCAAATGAAATGCAGAAGAAATGTAAGAGCCGGTCACTTTAGGGACCTCGGAGGCTGCAAAACCACAGCCATTGCGGACAACTGAGACGCGGGCTTGTCCAGATTTAAGGCAATGCCCCCAGGCCCTGCCCAGCCGCCCCAGCCTCTGCAAGGGTTGACTTACGCGGTGGCCCTTCAGGCCTGGCAGCCCGGGCGCCCCGGGAAATCCTCTGGCTCCCTGTGGGGGACATAAGGCATTTCAGAGTCACTAATAAGAATAGGAAATTGCTTAATACACATTTTCCCTAAAAAAATACCTGGTACCTAGTTTTTCACCAACAAACCAGAGAAGAAAAAGGAGCAGTATACATTTACCTATCAAAATACACGGAGGGGATCAAAGATTAAAACTGTCCGAAATGGAAGCATGACTTACAGCGACATCGGTTCATGCCAGGTACTGACTTGATGACATTTTCAAGATTTCAAATTACATCACTGTGTTATTAACAAAACAAGCAAAAACAAACAACAAAACAGCCTCAGTCACATACCTAGTGTCTGACCCAACTAGGTCAGCGACAGGAAGGAAATTAGGAGGAAAACTGTGATTTTCTTTCTTTACATGCGCTTTGTTTGGGGTGAAAGAAAAAATGCATTTGTAGCAAACCAATGTGTTTTATTTCCCCTACCTCTTAAATATCGCGAGTGGGATATAAGAAAGATTATATTAAAATGAATAAACAGAAAATATTTTAAAGTAACATGATAGAAAGAAGCTGGTGGGTTGGTAATGGTTTAAAAAACGAATCAAGGAAATAAAATATCCAACAGAAAGGAAAGTCAACAAATACAGAAAGAATGGGCTGGCTCAGGAATTCCTTAATGTCTGTTAATTTTAGGCATCCGTTACCTAAGCATATCACATTTTTTTAAAAAGGAAATCATACAAAAAATGAAATGCAAATGGTAAGACTTTTGAAATGATGCTTGAAACTGTTCGCTCAGACGCTCTTGAAGCAGAGAAGGACCAGGACTGACTGGTTCACTCTCATTCCCGTGTTAATTGGACTCTGACGTGAAGCCATGAGCACTGCCAGCAGCCGGCTGAGCACTCGATAGCATGGACTGATGTTATCAATGACCAATTATTAGCATGGATCTGCATATCCCTGGCACTAAGCCTTATGCCTGCCCGTGGGCATCCAATGACTAATCATTGACTAAACAACAGAGGGAAGAAATGGTTTAATATTTCTTTTAACACTTGAAGCGCTTTCCCAAGCTTTTAAGGAACTTCTCTGACACCAGCACAATCTTACACAGAGAGCAGCATCCATCTGTTTGCGTTATCGCCTTCACTTACTGTTAAGTAAATCAATGCATAAATAACTCAATAAATGAACTTTATATGATGAAAGCAAAGCCATCATTCCTCTGGGACCGCTGCAGGACGCTTCTGTAGCGGGGGGGGGGGGGGGGCTGCTATCACAGTAAGGACACATCAGACCATTGCTCTCTGAACAAATACAAGTTCCATTCATTCCTCTGTGACACAGCCCTGCCAGGAATCCCTTCTTTTAAGAACTCCCTGGAAGTGTGTCCACTGGAATGCGCCCCTTACTGAGGTCCCCCCCTCCCTCCTGAGCAGGAAACTCGGTCCACATCCCTCCGAGACCCCAGGGAGATTCCTAGCTCCGCTGTTTCAAACCGCCCCTGAGCTTCGGGGATTTGGCCCGTTGCAAGGGCATTCCCGTGTGACTGCATCTCTACTGGACAAGGAATTGAGCCAGATGTGCGAGAGCTCATTGAGTTTCCTCATCCTGCTGACCGAGGCTGTCATCACACCCACTCCAGGTCGTTGCTCTGCATAGCAGAGCGCATCTGGGCCCTGCTGGCTGGGCCCTTCCCCCGGGCAGGGTCCCGCACGGGGGCCGTGGGAGAGGGCGCAGGGCAGTGCGCACCAGGACAGGCTGACACGCTACACACATCTGTGCTCATGACTAAACCCTGCCTGTGTCCGCGCTGACTTTCCAGGATGCAGGGGGAGGAGGGGAGAGCAGGCAGCTGGGAACCGGGTTTATATTGAAACTAAAGAGCCCTTAGAGCTCTGTAAATTCCCTTGAAAAAAACAGCATTCATTGTTTTTTAAAAAAAATCCTAGTTTTGAACCTCATCCATTTTCAGAAAGTCAATTGGCAGGGACTCAGTATTGTTGGATGTGCTGAGCAGTAGGAACATTTGGAAATGATACAAAATCTACTAAGTGGGAGGCCACGTCAGCTTAGGGACGTTGCACAGGGAGCAGTCTAAGGGCAGGGAGGCTGGAGGACTCGCTGGCTTATCACCCCTAATTGTCCCCACTGCCCGCGTAGCACCTCGACGGGGAGGGGGAGGGCCTATGGGAACAACGTGCGTGCGGACAGCAAGGCGGGTCAGTGCGCCAAGCGAGGCAGATCCTCCATCCTGGCGGGGGCGGCCAGGGCCCTGGGCCAGAGGGAGCCCGGGCAGAGGAGGGCAGCTGTGCTGGGAGAGCTGTGACCAGTGCATCTTCTCATAAGGTCTCAGGGCCCAGAGGCCGGTCCAGAATTCCAGCCAACGTTAGGGTTTGCCGAGCAGCCAACAGGCCGCCTGTCCACCAGGCGTGTCCCTGGCGCAGGAAGAACGCCAGGGAGTTCTCTATCCAGCTGTGGGTTCCAGCATGGGAACAGCACAGAACGAACATGTCAGGGAGATGAACGCGGACCCACGGGTGGAGACGCTGTGATATGTGCCTTATGAGACCGTCCTTGCGGGCGTTAGGCCCCCAGCTCTGGGAGGGTGGGAGTGAGCTCGCCATCAGCCTGGCAGATGCCCGCTCCGCGGGGACCCGGGTCACATGGGCAGAGAGAGGCGAGCTCACGTGCGTGCTCTGTGTCGCTAAGAACAGACTTACCGGAGACCCCGAGAAGCCCACCTCACCAGGACTCCCATTTCTCCCGGGTTCGCCCTTTAGGGAAAGCAGAGAAGCAAAGCAGGTTAGAATGTTCTCCTGGGAGGCGAGGTGACAAAGCGACTGCAGATAAAACGTCTCCTCAGAAAGACTGTGCCCAATGCCCACATGCACCCCCGGGCGCGACGTCCGACGGGGTCCACTCTAGACGTCAGCTGTGAGGTTCCACCAATTTATCCAGAAGCAGCAATGACACCGGAGATGCTGGGCCACCTTAGCCCGCATGTCATCAACATCAAAGTTCACCACGTGCGGAGACATGCATGCGGCACTGAATTCAGCGGTGTTTCTTAAAACACCTCTTGCCATTTCTTTTCTTGTTATAAAAAATATTAAGAACGGCCAGAGATGTGTTCCTTATGGCCAAATTCAGTGTAATCTGCTTAACCAAGTCACATGACACACAACGGGAAAATATTTACTTAGTTTAGTGTCCCTTGGCCTATCCATAGTTTTATCCTCAACTTTGGTACAAAGAATCCAGAAAAGCAGAGCTGTCATTGCATCCTGCTCTTTGATCAGTTTTTAATGTTAAAATCTGAAGTTGAGCCTTAACTTTAATTAAAGATCCAACTGAAGAAATAATTTTTTCAGCATCAGAGAGCAATGCTGACCCTGCCCTCCTAATGCGTGTAAAATCCACTCAATGATGACCTGATAATGATGGCTTCGCCATCAGCGCATAGCCTGTCCCTGCAGATCACTGCACAGTCCCATGGGAAACCCTATGGAAAACCTGGAGAATGCAGGGCAGGGACAGCGCCTCACAATACCAAAGGAAGAGCACTCTTAGGTTTTGTGAAATCCTCCTCTGAGCTCTCATTGATTGACATGAATGGAGGCTGAAGTGGGGAAATGGAGTGGGAATGGACGAGTGACATTCATGGTGACACTGCCACTCCTCAGCCCCCTCAGCCCCCTCCTCTCCCCTCAGCCCCCTCAGCCCCCCTCAGCCCCCTCCTTCCTCCTGTACCCCCTCCTCCCCCCTCCTCCCTCCTCTACCCCCTCAGCCCCCACGTACATCTTCACCGGGTTTCCCGGGAGGGCCCTCTGGTCCGCGAGCACCAATCGGACCCTAAGAACAAAACACAGGGGAACAGAGAAGGCTTACCTATATTTACCTGCGCCCACCGATGATGCAAGCCAAAATATTGTTGAAACAAGTAAAAAAACAGAAAGTAGCTTTATCAATATTCTGAATGTTATGTTGTGTCCCTCAGATTATGTGCTCAGCAGGAAGAAGTTTAATTTCACAAACGCAAACATCGCAGCACTGTTGGCTGACCACGTTCAAAGTTTCCAAATTTAAATACAGTGGGGCCTTGACTTACGAGTTTAATTCGTTCAGAGACCGAGCTCGTTAAGGAGCTCGTTAAGGAGCTCGTTAACTCAAATTACTCTATCAACTCAATGCAAAAAATCCGAGACAGCTGGTATCTCAAAAAACTCGTTAGTCGGGACACTCGTAAGTCAAGGCCCCACTGTACTCTGCCACAGGGAACGTGGTCACACACAGCCCTAACGCAGGCCCCTCGCGGGCTGTGACTTCCTGCTGCAGGAGTGACGAGCTGGTGAATGAACAGCGGGGACACCATTTATGTGGAGCTGTGTCTCACGGGCCTGCGTGCTGGCGTGACATTTACCATCGGTCCGGGCTCCCCAGGCTCCCCGGGAGGTCCTGCAGGGCCTACACCGCCCTGAAATGAGAACAAAGTACAGAGAAGTTATCGACAAACCACAGGAGGAGTCCTGAGTCCTGCACCCCCTGAGGTGCCGTGCAGCGGCTCCAACCACTGGGGCACCACTCCCGCCACGGGACTGGGTGAGTTGCTTACTCGGCCACAACTCCATGAGGTTTTTAATCTGTGACATAGAATAATATGGCACCCACTTCATTAGGCTTTTATATCTCTTTAGGTCATTAATGCACAGTGAGAACCTAGACTAGTGCTGGCAAGTGTTCATCAATGGTAGTTATCTCCTTCCTCCTTCTCCTCCTCTTCTTCCTCCTCCTCCTTCTCCTCTTCCTCCTCCTTCTTCTCCTCCTCCTCTTCCTCCTCCTCCTTCTCCTCCTCTTCCTCCTCCTCCTTCTCCTCCTCCCTTCTTCTTCCGCCTCCACTTTTTCCTCTCCTCCTCCTCCTCCCTTCTCCTACTCCTTCCTACTGGTCCTACTCGTTCCTCTTCATCAAAGACAACTATGTTTTCTATTCACCAATGGGAGAGACATAAAAAAGCTTAAAGTGAAACTCCATACCCATAATAATGACAGTATGGTATCATTGACTGAGACAAGAATTCTTTTTTCTTTCTTTCTTTGGAAAAATTATGTTCTACTGCCTGACAACTCACTACAAAAACTAAAACAGCTCCACACCGTTATTTAGCTGGTGTGTGACAGGCTGCAGGAAAGCGGGCAGTGGTGTATTCTGTTAAAGCTTCCACGCGTGGTCGCCGTGGCTGCTGTTTCTAACAATACCCTAGGCCTTCCCTCTGTGGTCTGATTCCACAGCCTCAGGGCTGGCACACAACCGACTACGAGCATCATCATCCGGACGGGTTATTTCAGAAGCAAGGGCACAGAAAATGCTTTGTACAGGAGGGCAGTCTCATAAAGGAGCCAGACAATAAGACTTTAGCCCCATCCACAACTTTGCAAATCATGCTGCATGTTTCTAAGGAAGTAAAGATTAACTGAATTCAACCCAGTCAGTGTCAAGGCCAGCGGAAGCAGCCATGCCACAGAGGCCTCATTTCGATGTGTTTCTCTCCGTGAGACAGGATGGAATTTAATTACAAAAAGACTTACTTGCTGCCCTTGTAGACCTTGAGGTCCCCTGGGGCCAACAGGACCCTAAAAGCAAGTGAGAGGAAAAGTTACACACTCTTCATGACAATTAGGTCAAACATTTAAAAAATGCGGCGTTGGCTTTAGAGTCTGGAGAAGAGAGGCGTGGGCAGCGGGGATGAAGGCTCCAGCTGTGTCCTCTGGAATGCGGCTACGTCCAGGGAGACGGGAGCAGGTGCCCCGGAGGGGGGGGGGGGGGTCATACACTCTGTGGGTCCCAAAGAGAAGGCAGGACACGCCTGTGCCCGGGGGCCTGTCACAGGGAACATCTGAGACGGGAGGTCCCACAGGCCCAGAGCCTTGTCCCGCGCCCAGCGCTGCAACCTGCAGCCGGTGCCGCATCACCTGCAGGCACCAGTCAGACTGAGGCTCATGAAACGCCAACAATAATGACCAGGTTATTTCAAAGGTGAACTTAGAACTATCGGGGGGAGGGGCCGAGTTTTCTGGATGATTTCCCTTTTTCTTAACGTCCTCGTCGAGTTCCCTCACAGGCTCTCACTGTTCATTTAAACATGAGGTGAGTCACGGAGTCATAAACACGGGAAGGAAAGGGAAACGCAATTTTAAAAAATTGGTTAATAAACACCTATACAACTTCTTAAATGTCACATTTTAAAAAGTAAAATCAATGAAATCAAAATCAAGCTTGTTCTTGTGGTAAAAAGTTAATTTTTTTTTTTGGTTTTGAATTGCTCGGATTATTAGCTAGTAAGAAAATGAAAGTTTCATTACAAAAATAAATGCATATGTTATTTAAACTTCAAATGGACCCCCAACACATATATTTCAGAAAATTATCCCAAGATAATCACTGAATGA